TGTACGGTGAATTGGTTGTTATCGTAATTATGGCTAACTATGTTACATGGTATTAAAAAAAATATATGAATATTTAATTTAAGGGAATTTATAAAAACAATAATTTTATAATAATGAAGCTAGTTGTGATAGGTTAGTGTTTGAAGTATGGAAGTTTGTTTTGGATAGCGAATTTAAGTTACTGATTTGCTCTCTTCTTTAGGGTTCCCTTTTTATTTTGTTATAGTAATCTCATAAATCATGTTTTATATGGATATTGATAATTAAATATTGAGTGTATTATGTAATATGAAAATTATTAAGGTTGTAGTTATTAGAGATATTATGATTAACCCTAGACTTCAAATTTGAGGAGATATAAAGAGTTGGCATGTTAATTTGTATCAATAATTACAAACTTGATTATAAATTTGAGGTCAATTTTTATGTCAAGGTTAAACACATAAAAATGTGAGTGCTGTTAATTTCGAAACCTTATTGTAAATATATACTTGAATAGATTCTATTTGTTCGGAAGCTCAACAGAAAGGGAAGTCTCAAGTCAAAGAATAATTATAAGATTGACTAAGGCAAGTGGATTTCTAAACGCTTGTTAAGTGTAAAATATTCGTGTATTTCCTTGTGTGGTGTTGAGAATGACTTAGAGACTTGTTGCATATTTGTTGATTTTGTATTCCTTGTTGTAAATTGTGCTTTGTTATCAAAATGGTTATCTCCTTATTTTCATTTGAGCATGTCATTTGCATTGTCTCTGAGACATGGTTGTGGTAGGAGGATGTACCATTTCGAGGGCGTATCGCGCACCGCGATGGATATTATATTTCGAGGTACGTATCGCGCGCCATGATGGATATTATATTTCGAGAGACGTATCGCGCGCCGCGACGGTTACTATTATCGAGAGTCGTGTCTTGCGCCGCGACAGATGCTTGGACAGATATGTCCCGCATGGGTCTCGGGCTGAGAGACAGCGGGTGTGTATCGTTAAGAAATACATGCATCACTATTTTTGACATTGCATCTTATGACATTGCACATTTTATTATTGATGAACTTGAACATGTATTTTGCTGATCTTGTGATTGTTTCTCATTGAAGCTTGTGATTGTTGAATATTTAGTTGTTATCGAGAATGCGTAAACTGATAGAGTGTGATTATTGAGTTGTGTATTTGGTAAACTGTAAATTGTTAGGTTGTAGCGTAGAGGTTTAGATAGGGTGTAAGGAGTACCCGTATTTTGTTCACTTAACTTGTGTTTAGAGGTTTGCTTGTTGGGTACTACGTGTTTGGTAATCACCCCTTGTTTCTACAAATTTTTGTAGGTTAAAAGCCCGGATCTTTGTGATACCTGTCATTCTTTTCGTTTCTGAGGCATCTTGAAGAGGGCTGTGAGGTAGATGTTTGTCATCTCAGCGAACTTTCCTACTTCAGTTTATGACTTTTTTTTACTTGAAAGACAACTTCAAGTTAGACTTCTATTTTATATCAGTTCTAATATTAATATTAGAGGCTTGTGCACGTGACAACCTGGTTTTGGGGATTGAATTAATATGACTTGGTTTCATAATACAAATTGTTGTTGGATTGTCATTTACTTCCGCACTTTGTTAGATATTGGGTTTTAGGCTGGCTTGACTTGGTGGAATAAGACGAGTGTCATCACATCCATTTTTGGGTCGTGACATGATCTTAATTGAATATATATATATACTCGTGTGTGTATGTGTGTGTAAATGTAGATGGTTTATGTAATTTTATCAATGTTGACGGTCTTTTCAATTTTAAAGGTAGATGATTAATCTTTTTAATATTATAAAATGACAGTTTGTGAGTGATCAATTTATTAAGATGACAATTATTTATCCTCAACTAAATTAAGTGAAAAATAGGAAAAATGATAATAAAATTGTTCCTTTCAAAGCTAGTTAGAAGACCATAAAAAATAATTTTGTTTGAATATTATCTACATTGACCCAATTACCTAATGATTCAAGGGTATAATGGAAAGAAAGTTTATATAAAGTTTTAATCCAAATATATGATTAGATAGGAAATAATGAACCAAACACTTAATAAAAATAAATACTTCATTACTAATCTCTGCATTACTAGTTCCTTGCATTATTAATTTATGTGCGTTAGTAATCTCTGGGCTATTTATTTTTTTACCATCTCAGATATGCATTCAATACTACTAGCCAAATTTTGACAAGGTAAGCCAAGGAGTGCTTTGTAATGCCAAGAATTCGAGGTGTGCATTCAATAGGACAGTGGAAAATTCCTCTCTTGCACGTCTCTTCTTCTTCCGTCGATGCATATTTTGCACTTCCTTCATTTGTCTTTTGTTGAGTACTTTCTTTCAAGTGGGTGTGCAAAGTGCCACCACCTTTCTTTTTATCGGTAACAACGGATACACAAATTATCAAAATTATTTTAAAAGTAGTAGAAGTAATTAAAGATAGAACTAAGACTTCTATCTGATTGAATATGTCAATTTGAGTATCATTACTTTATCTAAAATTGGGCCAAAAGAGAAATTTAGTTTAATAATCAAGTAAAGAGTATGTTGGCTTTTAGAGAATGAGAAACAGAGTTCATTGATAAACAAAGAAATTTTCATGAGTCTCATCATGTCTCACAACCACATGTTAATGTATTGAACTATCAATCTTGAATACTATATATTTGTAGTTCCTATTCGTCTTCAACTCCAAAAATTTCAGCTTGCATTCATCACTAACTCCTATACCTGACGTTGAATTAACCTATGTAAATGCCACATAATTAGACAAGAAAGTATAATTTCTCATGTTCTAGTATATGTAGCCCGATAATGTATGGACATATTTGCCTCCCTATTTCAGGTTCAATATGCACCGGAAATGTACCCATGTTCAACAATATGACCTAATAATCAATGAAGAGAAATTTTATTAAAAAGTCTCACAAAAAATACTTATTTAAAGTCCACTTATTATAGTCAAATAATCCATTAAAATACGAAAAATTAATAAAGTCCAGAAAAAATATTTTCGTCATAAGTCCATTCATCAAAGCCTTTTTCATCCTTTTCCCCCTCTTTGTGCCTTTTTTATTATTCTCTTGCCTTAAATATTTGTAGAAATTACGATTTTTTTTAAATGTGTTCACCATTTATCATCTTTTCCTAAAACCCTTCTTTATTCCTTCTTAAAGATATTATTACATTACAATTAAGTGTAAGACACTTATTAATAAAAATTAGAATATTTTTTATAATTTGGTTCAGCATTTATCACATTTTTCTAAAATCTTTCTATATTCCTTCTTAAAGATATTATTATATTATAATTACTAGAAATTCGTTGGAATTGGAAATAACTGTAAGCGAGGGATAAGACACTTAATTCCAAAGCAAGTTACAGTTTTATTTATTACTATATTTTTTAATTCTTATTATTCGATTAAGTTACAAATTTATTCATTATTATAGATACTAAAGCATAGCATCCTTAACAATGACAAGAATTTCTTTCTTTTCTGATTATATTTAAACTTAAGTACATCATTTTGTTATGCCTAATTTTATAATTTTTAGCTTACTTGTTATTAACTTTTTTTGTTTACAGTATGAAACATAAGATGAGCATATGTCGATGTTGTTTGTGAGAATTCAAATTCAAAATTCAAACATGATAGGTAATACGATTTGTTTTATTTTAGTGTAGTTGATAACTCTTATCTATAGTGTTTTTCCTTTTTTATTTCTATTATGTGTTATTTTCTTCATTATTGTTATTATTTTTTCGTACTTTTTATTCTTTGTATATTTTTTGTGAATCATTTTTATTGTTTATGGTGAAAGATAAGATGAACTTCATGTTCAAGTTTGATGAAAACCATATCATTATTAATATATGAAAATTTTGTTACTATTATATTTTACTCTCTTTTAAGACATTATAAAGTTTATTCTTATAATATTAAAACAAATTTAGCAATCTCACATATTTTTGTGGGGGTAATATCCTACTTTTTTTTAAAAAAAAAAAGAGTCATAATTCACTAAATTCATATTTAATATAAAAATTAAAAAAAAAAAGAAAGAAAAAAAGGAATTGACAAAGTACGACTATCTATATGCTTTGAAGGCACATGACCACTTAATAATATTTGGTATTTTCCTCATCTCAAAATAAATAATATAATTTATGAGCATATACTACAATAATAAAGTTTCTCAAATTTTTTTTTATTTTGATAAAGTATGTTTAAAAAGTTTTTCTTAAATTTGCTATATGAATTTTTATAAAGTATAAAGAGACTGTTTCAACTGATTAATTTCAGCTAATACGTTATATTCTTTGTCTAATTGAGGTTATATATCTTTCAATCTATTCTTTTTATATATATAATAAGTATATTATATTTGTAGTAAATATTAGTCAAGATAGAAAGTTATTCCCAAAAATATTTCACAAGCTAAAATTTGTGAAAGGTGGAAACAGAGTTTATTCATAATTATTGGAGAAGGGATAATAACTTTTGAAGAATATGAACATTAAAAAAGAAAACATTAAGAGATTATAATTTTTTGAGGAAAAGCGTAATTATATAAACTATATTTGACCTTACTTGAACCACAATACATGTTTTATTTTTAATTTGATGAACATGGAGGATAATGACATTTGATGTTCTGAGCTTTCTAAATTTATGAGTCTATTTAATTTAAATTCTTCAATTTTGCGAGACGGATATAAATAAAATAAAAATATATGAAGAATGAAAGATAGATTTTTTTATAAAATTGTATAAATTTATGAAAGCATGAGATACACATATTGCAGTAAAATTATAGAAATAGGTCATAAAATGTAAACTCTTAGTTTAAGCAATTTAAAATTACAACATATACAAAAACTTCAATACTAATACAAACTTGATTAAGTCTTCAAATCTGATATATGTGAATTAAACACACAAAAAAACCTCCACAAAACTTTTAGTAGTCAACTAGTTACTATTTAAATTAAGTTTTAACATATAAAGCCAAATATTTATGATCGCGCGAAGCGCGGTAAGCTCACTAGTTACCTAATAATTCAAGGGTATAATGGAAAGAAGCCTTATCTAGAGTTTTAATCAAAACATATGATAAGATGAGAAATAATGAACCAAACACTTGGTAGAAATAAAACCTTCATTACAAATCTCTGCACAACTAATTCCCTATGTTATTTATTTTTGTACCATCTCAGATATGCATTCAATTCTCTGAGCCAAAGTTTGTCGAGATACGCCGAGGAATGCTTTGTAATGCCAAGCATTCGAGTTGTGCATTCTATAGGATGGTGGAAAATTCCTCTCTTGCACGCCTCTTCTTCATCCGTCGATGCATATTTTGCACTTTCTTCATATGTCATTTAGTTGAGTACTATCTTTCAAGTGGGTGCGCAAAGTGCCACCGCCTTTTCTTTTTATCTGTAACAACGGATAAACCAATTATAAAAATTATTTTCAAAGTAGTAGAAGTAATTAAATATAGAACTAAGACTTCAATATGATTGAATATGTCAATTAGAGTATCATTACTTTATCTAAAATTGGGGCAAATGATAAATTTAGCTTAATAATCAAGTAAAGAGTATGTTGGCTTTTAGAGAGTGAGAAAGAGTCCATTGATAAACAGATAAATTTTCACGAGTCTCATCATGTTTCACAACCACATGTTAGTGCGTTGAACTGTCGATATTGAATGCTATATATTTGTGCTTCCTATTCATTTTCAACTCATAAATTTTCAGCTTGCATTCATCACTCACTCGTATCACTGACACTGAATTCACCTATGTAAATGCCACATAATAATTAGACAAGAATATATAATTTCTCATGTTCTGGTATATATAGCCCGATAATGTATGGACATATTTGCCTGCCTATTTACGGTTCAATATGCACCGGAAATGTACCTCATGTTCAACAATATGACCTAGTGATCAATGAAGAGAAAGTCAAGTTCAAATTCCAATAAATACATGTTGGAATTAATGCATCAATGTTTAGTCTTCCAAAATTGTCTCTTAGTTTTTCAAGAAGTCTTTTTAGAATTTCGTAGTACATGTATCTAGTAAATTGTGATATATGTATTTAGTTATTTGTGCAAGACTTTTAGTTTTACATTTTGAGTAGTATAAATAGTGATGTAGTTTATGATTGTAATCATCTCAAGTGACCTTAAGTATCCTATAATAAACTTGAGCATTCTTTAAAGATATTATTTTCCATCCATATTTCCTACAAATTGGTATCAAGAGCAGGTTTTCGTTCTTAATCTGGGGTTAGGTGAAGAAAAAAATATGGCATCCAAAACAAATGAAGGTGATGATTCTTCAGTTGTTCTTACTCCATTTTTTGATGGAATTGATTTTGAATTTTGGAAGATAAGAATGAGAACACATTTGAATGCTGAAGGTTTGTGGGCTATTGTTGCAAATGGCTTTGAAGAGCCAGAAAACGATGGTGATCTTACATCACGAGAGATGAAAAATCTTGAGGATAAGTATCGTCAAGATGCAAAAGTCTTGAGCAAAATCAAAATGAGAGTCTCAAGAGCATATTTTGCAAAAATTTCTACTTGTAAGACTGCAAAGGAAGCTTGGGATTTTTTGGAAACTGAGGTGTTTTGTGACGAAAAGGTACGCTATATAAATCTTCAAACTCTTAGAAGAGAATTTCAAAATTTAAAGATGATAGAATCTGAAAAAATTGATGAATATTGTACATGAGTCATGAATATTGTCACACAAAAGTATGAGTACATCGTTTCTATCACAGAGGAGACAAAAGATTTTTCTAAGATTTCCATCAAAGAGCAAGTTGGATCATTTCGTGCATACGAGAAGCGGAGATTTTTTTGTGAAGATCAACCCAAAGAGATGACTTTCCTGTCTAAAATAAATGAGAATTCTCAAAATTTCTCAAAAAATCATCAGAAGAAAAATCAAAAGCCAAAAAAGAGCAGGATCATGATGGTTCTTCCAAGAACGTTGGAGAAAAACTCTAGTCTTTTTTGTAAAGTTTGCAAAAACACTAATCACAATGCAGAAAAATGTTGTCACAAAGGCAAGACCCAATGTAACTTTTGTAAAAAGTTTGGCCACGTTGAAAAGGATTGTTGGCACAAGAAACGGGAGCAAGCAATTTTTTATGAAAAACATGAGGAAGAAAGGGAAGAAAATCTTTTCTTTGTTTCTAAATCTGATGCTTCAACAAAATGCAATAAATGGTATGTTGATAGTGGTTGTAGTAATCACATGACTAGAGATGAAAAGGCTTTCCTCTCAATTAATAATAACATCACTACTAAAGTGAAGACAGGGAATGGAGCCTTAGTTGATGCAAAAGGTAAAGGTACTATTTCGATCAACAGGAAAGGATGCGGTAAGCAAATTCATGATGTTCTTTATATTCCTGACTTGAAAGAAAATTTGCTTAGTGTTGGTCAACTCTTGCGAAATGGTTATTCTCTTGTGTTTAGAGATAATTATTGCAAGATTTATTGATAAAATTGAGCCAAATCAAGTCATTGTTGATGTAAATATGATAAGAAGAAACTTCCCTTTGCAATTCCATTACAATGCATTAAAAATGAAATTGTAGATGATTCATGGCTTTGGCACAAAGGATTTTGTCACTTTAATTTTCATGGTTTAAAGCTTCTCAATCAAAAGTACATAGTGCAAGGCCTTCCTGAGATACATACTGAGGTAGATACATGTGAAAGTTGTATAATGGGAAAGCAACACAGGAAGTATTTTCCAAAAGGGTTGTCTTGGAGAACAAGTGTATTTTTGGAACTAATTCATACCGACATTTTGTGGACCAATGAAGACTCCATCTCTTGGAAGTAAAAGGTATTTTCTAATCTTTATTGATAATTTCTCAAGAATAACTTGGGTTTATTTCTTGAAATAAAAGTCAGAAGCATTTGCTACATTCAAGAAATTTGAAACCCTTGTTTAGAGGAAAAAAGGTTGCAGCATCAAAATCATTCACATTGATCGAGGAGGTGAATACACAAGTCAAGAATTAGAAGAATATTGCAAAAATGAAGGCATTTAGAATCAACTTACAGCAGGGTATACTCCTCAACAAAATGGTGTATCTGAAAGAAGAAATAAAACAATTGTTGAAATGCCAAAACTATGATGAATGAGAAAGGGCTGCCAAAATATTTTTGGGCAGAAGCAGTATATGCAGCAGTTGACATCCTTAACATGTCTCCAACAACGACACTAAAGGATAAGACACCAGTTGAAGCTTGGAGTGGAAATAAACCTTCTTTAAGTCATTTTAAAATTTTTGGGTGTATTTGTGATGCTAATGTACCTACTGATAAAAGAACAAACATGGATGAAAAAAGTAAAAAATGTGTCTTTCTTGGTTATATTGATGTGACAAAAGGATATAGGCTTCTCGATGTCAAAACTAACAAACTTGTTGTTAGTATAGATGTCATTTTTGATTGAAAAATAACATGGAATCGGGAGGATAAAAAGATAGAGAATACTACTATCATATCTTCAAATCAAGAAGAGGATGAGAAAGATGATGATGTCTCTCAAGGGGGATAAATCCTTGATTCAGATAATGAAGAACCGCGTTAAAGAGGAACAAAAATGTTTAGTGACATTTATCAAAGATGTAATTTTGCTGGTATTGAGCCAGAAAATTATAAAGAAGCAATAAAGAATAATGTTTGGAATAAAGCCATGGAAGAAGAAATTTGAATGATAAAAAAAATAATACTTGGGAGCTTGTAGCTATTCCTAGAGAAAGAGAAGTTGTAAGTCTAAAATGGATTTACAAAATCAAACTCAATCAGGAAAGAGATATTCAAAAGCACAAAGCAAGGTTTGTTGCTAGACGCTTCACGCAAAAATTAGGTATTGATTTTTATGAAACTTTCTCTCAAGTTGCTCGTCTTGAGACAATTTGAACTGTAATTGTTGTTGCTGCACAAAAGAAATGGAAGATATTTCAACTTGATGTTAAATAAGCATTTCTGAATGGAAAACTTGATGAAGAGATTTATCTTGAGCAACCTCAAGGATATTTTGTTTAAAGGGGAGAAGAAAAGGTGTATAGACTAAAAAAAACTCTTTACGGGCTGAAACAAGCTCCAAGAGCCTGGTACAATGAAATTGATACATTCTTTCTGAAAAATAATTTTCAGAAAAGTAAAAGTGAAGCCACTTTGTATGTGAAGAAAGAACATATCAGCATTATCATTGTTTGTCTCTATGTGGATGATTTGCTCTTTACAGGAAATGATGTAAAGATGATGCAAAATTTCAAACAAGATATGATGCAAACTTATGAAATGAGTGATCTTGGATTGCTAAATTATTTCTTGGGGATCGAAGTTTCTCAAGTGAAAGAAGGAATTTTCATTTCTCAAAAGAAGTATATTAAAAGTATCCTTCAAAAATTCAAAATGATGGATTGGAGGTCTGTGACCATACCATTAGCAGCAAATGAGAAGTTTAGAAAACATGATGGAGAAAAGAAAGTTAATAGCTCACTTTTTAGGAGTTTGTTTGGAAGTTTTTTATATCTTACTTCAACAAGGCCAGATATTATGTTTGCTGCTAGTTTATTATACAGATTCATGTATGAACCAAGCCAAGTGCATTTTGAAGTTGCAAATCATGTTCTACGCTACTTGCAAGGAACAATGGATTATGGGATAATATACAAATTTTGTGGAAAGTTGAACTTAATTGGTTATTCTGATAGTGATTGGGTTGGAAGTATAGATGACATATAGAGTACTTCTAGTTATGCTTTCTTATTTGGATCAAGCATTTGTTCTTGGTTATCAAAAAAACAAAGTGTTGTTGCTCAATCCACTATCAAAGCAGAATATGTTTCAGCATACAAGGCTACTTCTTAATCTATTTGGCTTAGGAGAATATTTGAACACATTGGTGAAAAACAAAAAAAAGGACTGTTCTTTATTGTGATAACAAATTAGCAATTGCAACTGCCAAGAATCCAGTCAGCCGTGAAAGATCAAAGCATATTTCCATCAAGTATCATTTTATCCGAGAAGCACAAGAGAAAGGCAAAATTCAGTTGTATTATTGTCAGACAGGAGAATAACTTGCTGACATCTTCACCAAAGCACTTCCTAGAGAAAAATTTTGCTATCTTCGAGAACGCATTGAAGTTATCAAGCAAATGCATTAAGGGGGAGTGTTGGAATTAATGTATCAATGTTATGTCTTCTAAAATTGTTTCTTTGTTTTTCAAGAAGTCTTTTTAATATTTTGTAGTACATGTATCTAGTAAATTGTGATACATGTATTTAGTTATTTGTGGAAGACTTTTTGTTTTCTATTTTGAGTAGTATAAATAGTAATGTAGTTGATAATTGTAATCATCTCAAGTGACCTTAAATAACCTATAATAAACTT